ACGGACGATGCAGTATGGATTGCATTAGAAAGCTTCATGACTCATGGGTGGAGGAAAAGGGCAGCCTCTGTAAGTCGTGAGACCCGAACACCAATAGTAGAGGACTGAGCTCAGATGCCTGTAAGCTTTAGCTGGGTATAGTGGAATAGCCTTCATGCCTTGAGTGACCCTACCAGGAGTATACACTCCTGACGTACTTCGCCTATTCCACCCATTGCCACCCCCTCGCCACATTGAGGCAGCCTACAGGTCTTGAGGGGAAGTAATTTTTTAACATGCTCTAATGTCTTTTTTGTTAATTGACTTAGCCTCTTTTGCACAACATTAGTTGATGTAATAGCATCTTTGTTTTCACAACTGCAGACTCCATCATACTTGGCATAAAGTGTGTAATAGTGTAATAGTTGAGTTGCAGAAAGACACACCATCTCCATACTTTTCAGCAATTTCTTTTTTTCATCTCCATCATGATCCTCAATTTTCTTCATTGCTTTACTCTACTCATGAAACTTCCTAAAACTGATTGTTAATCAATTTATAAAACATTAATGAAAAAAAAAAAAAAAAAAAAAAACAGAAAGTCACTTGAAAATTTAGAATTATAGTATGGGTTATTAACTGAACTGTAGCAACAGATAAATATTATGACACTTATTGGCAGTTGTAGCATTGTCTTAAAAGAGATAAACAAGAGTAGTGTGTGCAGTCATGACTCATCGAACTTGAATCGTATTTCAAGCAAATGTCATATACCAAACAAAAATTTTCACTTTTGAACAGAAGGTATGCCAAGTTGGACATATTTCACAGCAGGAATATACCACTGTACAACTGTATATTGTCTATTGTTAGTGGGTGCAAAAATAAAGGCTGGCTAAGTACTTCAATGGACATTGTGTATACACACGCACACACACAAACAAAAAGTGTATGAAAAAAAAATGGTACAGTTTAAAAAAATAATAGCAAAATTATGTCTCAACTTTCATGTGCATAATGTACACCATCAGCACTGACAGTTGGGTAAATTTTTTATGTGCTTTTACAATTTTTTTATCCTCCTTACTGTGCATTATATGTGCTCTATTTTGCGATGTCCAAATCATTGCCGTCCTGTAGGTAATAATCTTTGTATGAATTACTCGTTTAATTCCTTCCTCATAAAAGAAAATGTGCATATAAAAAAGAAATTAATTTCAAGAAATTGTTATCTGTTTGGTTTAAATTTTTGTATTAAATCCAAAGGATTCCACCTGATGTATTTCTAAAAGAAATAAGGGAAAACTTTAATAGTTTATTTTAAATGTTAGCTCTTCATATCTCAGTGCTCTTTGTTTAATGAGCAGCTTTATACCTCTGAAAATGTGATCTGAAGATCTGGCCTAACTGGTCGTTTTATGCCATTTTCATCATTTGAAGGTCAGATTTCAGTTTGAAAAACAGATAATAATTACCTGGAAATTATTTTGTCATTCTATTGTTTTAGCTCTTCTTCTCCTTCTATAATAACAGAAAATGGTTTCAAACTAAATGAAATTTTTTTTAATATAATCCAGGACTGCACAGATATTGAAAAACTGGACATTTTCTGTACTACCTTCCAAAATTATCCGTTTCCATTGAAATTTCAGTTGATCATTAATCATCAACTTTAATGATTGAGCAGATATTAGGATTGAAAAAATTCTTGAATTTATCTCAACTGTTTTGCTGAAATCCATTATGTTTGCCTCACATATATTAGCTCAGTTGTTAATTGTAGTAGTTAAAATAACCAACTAGTTGGTCTAAAGTTATAATTGCAAAAGTTGTTTCTGAGAATGCCGAATTTACAAATCAAATATAGACATGTTAGTATCAACTAAAACTTGCTTTGACACATAAGTCATAAAGTGATTTTTCAAAGCAAAGTGAATAAACAGTTGTTTAGTTCTAAGCATTTTTATTGCCTTAAATAGTAAGTTGTTCAGCCTGTGTAATATATTATTTCCTGAGTAAAAGCAGTGTATAAAAATAGCAAATATAAAAGCACTGTATAAGATGATGTATGCACTGCAACCATCGCAGCAGGCACAATACTCCAAGTTCAGGATCAATTTAATTATCACGAGGATGTATGTCATATGACTGAGTATGCAATACATTGAAGAATTATAATTAACATGCAAGAAATTTCAGCAAAATCATGTATGACTGCTGATGATATATATTATGCATGTGTAACATGAAAAATAAATGTTTTATTAATTTTTGAAATTGCACTGTTATTTGTCTGCACCCGGTATAAAGTGGAGCAATATCCTGGCATATGTTTGTACATAAGGAAAACGACTTTGTGAAAATGTTACTGCTGTAGTTCAAATAACTCATTGGCTGTTTTGAAGCTATAATTGCAAAATATGAATGTTGTCAAATTTCTCTTGATATAAATTTTCTGTATATAGCAATGAATCTTAATATTTTTAGTCATTTATTTATGGAATTAGATGGAAGTTTTAATGAAATTGTATTTGGCGTTTAATATTTTGTTTTATTAACAGACATGGAATAATGCTTAAATCACTTGAAATCATAGTAGTTTTCTGAGAGAAAGAGTGTAGACTATTATTAATTTTATTCTAAGCTGCATTTTACTTAAAAGAGTTAATCTGATTTTTTTTTTTTTTTTTTTTTTTTAATCTGTGATTTTTATAGGAAGATTTTTTAGGATCCTTTTCAAAATGAAAAAAATTTCTTTTGTTGGAAGCTCATGAAATCATTTAATCAGTGCATTCATGTCTTGGTTTTCTCTATTTTCTTTGTGATGGTGTAATTATTTCTTGTTAAAACAATCATAAATCCATTCTGAAAGACTATTTTAAGCAGATTAATTGATAATCAATAACTGTTTTTAAATCAGATTTTTTAAGGAAAACAGTTCTAACTTGTGATATATTTCAATTTCAAGGTAGTTTTTATTAAAACTAAGCTTACAATCAAACTAATGATAATCATAAAAAATCATGAATTTTAATCTGTATTTTAATAGTTTTGCTGGAGGGGAGAGGGAGTTACACTTTCCATTCTTCTGATGTTAAAACTGAAATTTGTAAAGGTTGTGAACATTTTCTTTAGAGAGGATTCCATTAATATAAAGAAATGCCCTAAGCAAAGCATAAAAAAGTACACTCATGTCCATAAATTAAGGATAATTCGGAGTCACTCAGAAATCGAACTCTAAAATAAATATATCACCTGTAAAATCACTACACACATCTTCAAGAATCATGTGCAAATTACAGGAAGTAACCAGATGACACCGATGGTACATCACAATGACGAGAGTGGAAGAGAGTGATATATAAGGAATACAGGCAAAGAAGTAAAATTGTTCGCAGGCTCTTTATAAGCATTTCAGTGCAATAACCGAATAGTTATGACACAGGTACGACAAAGCCACTGGTACGACAAAGGATGCATTTGGATGATTTTTTACGTGGTAGAATTATTGGCCGTCTGGAATGTGGGCGTACCCAACTGGAAGTATCAGATGAACTTGGAATTGCCCAGTGTCATCTCCAGGCTTTGGCAACGATTCCAAGATGATGGTAATGTGAGTAGACGTTACAGCACAGGTCGCCCCAGAGTTACAACGCCGAATGAGGACCGGTATTTGGCAGTTACTGCCAAAAGAAACAGCCGGAGCACAGCCTCAGACCTGTCTCGTCAGCTCTCTTCAGCCACTGGTACGACAATTTCAAGGCAGACCATGTACAGATGCTTAGGGCAGATTGGTCTATATGCTCGTAGACCTGTCAGATGCATTCCACTTACTGCAACTCACTGTCGTCTGCGGTTAGCCTGGAGTAGAGAGCATGCATTATAGACACCGCAACAGTGGGCTTGTGTGATGTATTCCGACGAGTCCAGGTTTAGCTTGCAGTCTGATTCTCGCCAGAATTTCATATGAAGAGCTCCAGGTACCCGTAACCACCAAGAAAACATCATTGAACGACATCGTTACGGTAGTGCAGGATTGCTCGTTTGGGGTGGAATTATTCTGGGTTCCAGAACTGACTTGTGTGTTCAAATTGGAACCATGACTAGCCAAATCTATCGGGAAGTCATTCTGGAACAGCATGTATGTTTGTTTCTGGGCGACATGGGCACACAATTTGTGTTTATGGATGACAACGCCCGTCCTCACCGTGCAAACATCGTAAGCGAATGCCTTCAATCAGAGGATATCACCCGTATGGACTGGCCAGCATTCTCACTGGAATTGAATCCAGTAGAGCACGTGTGGGACATGCTTGGCCGACGAGTTGCAGCCCGTCAACCTCCTGCTATATATCTAACGGAACTTCGGAGAGCATGGCTTTTTGAGTGGTGTAATATCCCCTAAGATGAGATCGATAATTCGATACTCAGCATGCCTAGGCATTGTACGGACTGTATTGCATCGTCTAGGAGACATACAATGTATTAACAATCATACCAACCGTGTAATATTGGTTTTTTGCAAATAGGTTTTTTTTTTTTTTTTTTTTTTTTTTTTTTTTTTGTAATTTGCTTCAGGGAGAAAAAATCGCTAATTTTTTTTATAATATCAAACATATAGCATCTTTTTTTGCTCTTTACCTTTTGTTTAATAATTAAGCTTTACAAATAAGTCAAATTTGGTTTGCTTCTAACTCTTCCTTTGCCTGATTTTGCATTATCCTTAATTTATGGACATGAGCGTATTATGAGTACGTTCTAAGTCATGATATTTCTCTAACATATTAATTCCCAAAGCAGATAGCTTTCATATGTTTAAAAATATCAAATCTAAGTAAAATGATGTAACTTTATGTTTTCTGATCTACTGTAAGATTATATCTAACCATCTTAGAAATTTTTGTTGGAATCCATTCATTGATATTTTCTATGAATTACTGAAAAGGGAATCTTAATTATATTCAAGTATTAATGTCTGTTATTTACATTATTTCTCTAATGTAAGAATTTATTTATTCTAGTATAGATTATGTGACACTTGGTGGTGTTAAAGACCATGGCAGTTATAATATGAATGTAAGTTCATATCAGAAGCAGTTCATTTGGGATAAATGTACTGAACTTGTTCCTAGTCTAAAGGTAAAATAGTTATATGTTATCTTTTAATATAATATTATGAGGGATATGTTGAACATTTTAAAAGAATGATAGAATAGAATTTCAATAGGTCTAAAGTTATTTGACACAATAGTGATTAAAATATAACTGCACAATCAAGCCAGAAGGAAATATATATCTTTCACAGTATACTATTTGAAAATTCAAAAAATAATAAGCAAGTAATTAATTCAGATTAAAAAATACAACTTATTCAAATTTGGTAAATAACTGAAATAATGATATTGTTGCTTTTCAATTAATCCAAATTTTAAAACATCTAGAAAAAAAGAAATTTCTGCATCAATCTTCTACTCAAATACTACACCCATGTAATGATTTTACAAAATGAGAATGCATTTGTGCCACACATTCTTATGAATAGTGTGAAAAGCTGTCTACTAATCATCGGAACACATAGGCAAGGAATTGGTGATGACATTTCTAATGTGATTTGTGGTAAAGTAACATGCTAGATCATGATTTTTGGAGATACTAAGGCAACAAGAATTAGAATTTCAAAAGTTTTTTTACGTTTAAGCCTTCAAAACTAGTCCTGCAAATTTATGAAAATTACACCAACTCTTGTTATCTTAGTATCTCTAATAACTCAAATGTAGTCATCAAATTCTAATATAGTGGCTGCACATGTTTGGTAAAATTCTTGCTTGTGACTTCCTCATAAGAAATATAGAATCTTTATTTTTGAACTTTAGAAAGTAGAGTTATAGATTGTTGTTCTTGAAATAAGTTTCAATAGCAACAATGCTCGGCAGTCCAGCTTTCCATGTTTTATAATCTCATTTCTAAAGGGAATATGATATAAATTACATTAAAAATTATTATATGATAATGGTGTTTAAATTTATTTGCTTTTGAATATTATAGACAGTTTTAATTGTATTTTGCAAATTTTATTTCTAAACATGACATTAGAAACACTGCAGTTCAAGTATACTTTCAGGTCTTAAATTTGAAGGCTCTTTTTTTAAAAAATATATGGCTTTATGCTTAATGCATATTTATGTGTTATAATATTATACTTTTATTTATACTTATGACTGTTAAATGATAACAACCAATTTCTCTTGAATTCTTGAATTTTATTTTCACTTGTTTTGTTTTATTTGTGTTTGTTTGTGGCTTAGTCCACCCAATCAACAGTAACATCTGATCAAGTCTCTGATATCAGAGCAAACCCACAAAATTCATCTTGGCAAGAGGTCAAAATTGCCCCTGTTCTGAAAAAGAGCCTTGAGCACCATACAGGTGACAGTATAATTTTGTTCAGTTCTACCCCCAGTTTTGAAGCAAAGCACCCCAGGGGGACGGATCCGAGTGTCTCCCACACCTCTTCCCCTACCTCAATCTCTTGGGAGGACTTTCGTCTTGCTGCATATTTAGAGTGCTCCCATGCCGCACAAATACTGTACATTTACAAACATCCATGTCTTCTCCGGTCAAACATGGGCCCTTCGATACGGCAATCAGTGCTGCTAATCACTATCCCATGTGAGCGGTGATAAGTAATTGCTTTATGTGATCATAACAAGCAACATTTTTTTTATTTGTATTTACTTCTGTGTACACATTGCTGCTTTATCAGTTAATGCAAATTTTGGTTAACACACATGAATTACTAACCATTTTTTAGTCCATTGCATCATTAGATTTTATCATTTAACATGGACCTTCAAAGTCCCCTCGTTTTTTTGTTGTTTCTTTGCTAGGGCTACATTCAGAAATGTTTCGTCCCATTTAATTAAAAACCTAACAGAATACATTGTATTCTTTAAAACATATTCAGCATGAGTAACATTAAGTTGCAATCACGATCATCGCATCAATAATGAGCTTCAGACAACAAATGCAATTTCGTGTTTAAATGTGTTTTTTTTTTTTTATTTTGTAAAAGTTAATTATTATGGCTATTGTTAAATCTTGAATAATTTTAAATTATTCACATAAAATTATTTACCTTCCAGTGGTCCCCAGAGTAAGTTTTTCGTCTTATCTTCTTTTAAAACTGAATAGGATACAGAATACTAAATGCACAATTTAAGTTGAAATTTAAACGAATGCATTTACAATAAAACATTTGCATAGATTTACTGGACTGTAGTTTAGTTACACATGAATTTTCAGCCCACACCAACAAGTCTTTTATTCTCTGAAAATTTTAGCAGCACTGTTTGATGAACCTGTAGATGGCACTCTAGTAGCTTCCAGGACATGACAACTAATGTTAAATTGCAAGCAGTAAGAGAATGATTCATGGCCAAGGGGAAGAAGATAAACATAGATCCGTAAACAGAACTGAAAATCCTGAGGAAGTTGATCGTGGTGTATTGAGGAAAAATACAACTGAGCTTCTTCTTTGCTAGACCCTTTACCATTTGATTGGCCAAAAAATGTCCTTCTTTCTACCATATTCATAATACTTAAAGATTGTGAAAAAGTTCTTGATGCTGTTGCATTGGGTTCTGGGAACAAATTTAAGTTACTTTACAGTGCTAAGTACAAAGATGTCAAAACTTTACTTCAGAATGGTTCAATCATATGTGTACTTCCAATGTACCTTTAAATAGATTTATAATCCAGTCAAAAATAAATGAGATTGCAAAACATTTAGCCATTTAATATTTCAATTTTAATATTGGCAGTACCTTTTGCAAAAGAGACACTTAATTTCATCATTAGTGATTTGTGGTGAGGCAACTGAGCTGATGAAGAAGAAGCAAACAACTAGTTGCATGAATTTGACAAGATAAAGATATCTCGTGTAATGTCTAGAGTATGAATGAAACTGGACTTTGGTGCAAACTTTTCCCAAATCATTCCCCTCAGAATGAAAGGTAACAGGTGTCATGATGGAGCACACAATAAACAATATTTAACTGTTGTCCTTGTATGTAATGCAGACAGCAGTGATAGACTTTGTTGTTGAGTAATTTGTAAGTACGAGAAACAATGTTGTTAGAAAAACATAAATGGGACTTTACCCCCTGCATATGTTCCCACCATAAGAAAGCTTTGATCAGCAGCTCAACATTTTATAATAGGCTTCTTTTGTTTTATAGTCAAACAGTGGCTCAGAATAAGTGTGTTCTTATGACACAGGGCCCATAACATACCTGATCTGAACTTAACCAGTATTAAAGGTTTACTTTCCCCAATTCGAAACAAGATATCTTTAGCCTTTGGATCAAAGTATTATTGAAGTTATGAAGAAAAATTATTGCAAGTGACTTATGAAACCTGCAATTGGTGCTGCTGAAAAGGGGATAGAAATACCAACTTGGAGTGTGCTTGATGCAATAAAAGCTATTGCCACACTATCGAGATCCATGTTATCACAACACATACAGAACTAGTTCAGCAGAGCCTGGAGGTATAAAGATTCTAATCCTGTTGATGAGTTAGATGCTTATAATAATATCATTTCACCTGATGAATGGAATAGTCTATAAGGTATTGCAAACCCTGATGTTTTGAGGAGTTTGTTAGTGCAGATGATGATGTTGCCGTGCGTGCTGCAGTGGAGTTTAATGTAGACCTTGTGAAATTAAAAATGGTACAGTTCTATATCTCTCATTTTACTGGACCAGTTCGCAAACTTCAACTTGTGTTTTCCATGTCTCAAAAGCTCAACTTAGGATAAATATTAGATTTATATATAGCATTGTGCTACATAAGTATTTTGACTCAAAATTGAACTTTTTCTGAAATAACATACCAATTTTTTTCCATATTTTGATTCTACAACTCAAATTAAGCCAAAGAGTCAAGTTTTGACAAAATCGCACATGTAATTTTTTAAAAATCAACTATAAAAATTTAAGCTCCTCCATGTTAATTAAATTTGGTATATATTTATTAATACAGTCAAAAGTTGTTAATGTGGTCTCGTCGGGACTTCGGCAATTCCGGATTATAGATCATCAGTTTAAATCTGGTAAGATGGCATGCAGAAATTATAAAATTAAAAATATGAAACCGTAATTTATGAAATTAAGAACAGTTATGATCTAAAGGGTATCAAAATTTTACAACAAAAAAAAAAAAAAAAAAAAAAAAAAAGCTTAATATTTATTAGTTTACATTATTAAACATTTCTTTGACTGTAAGTTGTTTTAGTTGCTTCGTTTCATGTGATAATACCTTCTCTTTAATTCTATAAACAAACATAATTTCTTCAGTTGCAAAGTTTCGCTGTTCAAGTCCTATAATTGCTGTGTCGAGAATACCGACTAATTTGTCAATCGAAATTTTTTCATTTTCAATAACCTCTGTCACTTTCTTCGCTATCGGAAGTGAATTATAATGATGAGGAATATGATTTAAATCATATCAAAGACGGAGTACATCGAGATGAAATACTACATTTAGTAAGGAATTATAAGCCAAATATAAAAACATCTGCCCTGAAGATAAGGATAGTGCTGACAGATCAACTTCCAATTCATTGCCCGCCACGGTGCCCCCCGCCGCAGTGCTGCATGAAATTGATAAACAGATTTCGGAATGGTTAGAGAAACAAAGGATATGCCTTTATCCATTTTTTGCAGCAATTCGAGTTTTTGTTTGATGGACATCGAAACATACTTTCGCTTTGTAGATCCTTTGAGAGCTCCAGCATCTGAAATTCTATTTGACAATAATCGAAAGTTTAAGCTTACTTTTATAAAATTACTCAATCAGTCTGCAAAAAGTAATAAGCCGGATCCAATTCGAAGATTAAGGAACAACGCAATCTGCAACATTAACTGAAATAGATAATTAGATACTTTTAGCTTATACCGTCCGATATACATTGAATGCGCATGCGTAAACGTATTATGCGCATGCGCACACACATATGGGCAGCAGTAAAGGTCTTACACGCATGCGTCAACGCCTGTGCGCATGCGGCAACGTGACACATGCGCAGAAAGTTTGTAGCTTTGAGGTCCGAATTATAGATCATTCCGGATTATGGTGTC